AATATGTTTATGGTTAGGAATGCCATGGCCTTAATTGCCTAATAATTAAAGTTAAACATTCTAAAAAAAAAAAAAAGGAAAAAACCCAACGACATAATCAAGCCCAGTCTATTAGCATGAAAAATCTGATCAGAAGAGTTTGCAAAAACTCTTGCAAAGTGATAGTAATGACCAGATGATTAATTCTGGTGGCTCTTCAAGTGTCCGCAAACTTTTCAAGCGACTGTGATTGTATAAAAAAGAACTCTGAAAGCCCAAATTCACAGGCAAGCCCCAGGCAACCCCAAAGTTGGCTTATTTCCTTTCTCAAGGACAAAACTCTTTAGCTCTTCACTGCCTTCTTTAATATTTTGTTCATAGATCTACCAAACTAAAAGCAGTGAATTTACCAGGACCGAGCGGCACTGGGCTCATGGGATGAAGAGAAACCAGAGGCACATTTGCTATTCTTACTTTCAGTAACACAGGACAAAAGCGTCACTACTGCTATTTACTACCAGAGACACCCAATACTCAGCAAACAAGTGAACAAGAACAAGCCTGTGAAAAAATCTAAGAGAGAACTCCACCTCAAAGGTACATGCCATGGGTCCAGCATAAGCCAGGAGGAATTTCATATGGATATACAACTCCTATTGAAAAATGCTAAAACAGGATTATCCAAGTTTGAATCGAGACCCAAACACATGGTTAAATTCAGCCCTCTTAAATTCAGCCCTCGAGACCCTTTCAAACCCATGGATATCAATAGAGCATATGAAAGTATAATGCATATATTAGCAGTTTCAAAGGCTTTTTGGAAACAGATGAAAACTCTAGCATAGATATAATCTCTCTCTCCCTCTGAAATTAGCTAAAGCAGCTGCCCAAATGACTATCAGCCAATTCAGAAAGTGTTCAGCTGTTCCTCCAAAGTAGGGACTGTGGCCTGGGGTTGGACAGAAACAAGCCAGGGTCAAGCCGAGGATGTGCCAAGCATTTCTGTGCACTGTGGTTAATCAAATAGCACACAGTACATTTACAGCTTAGTTGGGGCCACAGGCTCCATAGCACGGATGTGGACACTAGGAAGGCAGAACCAGGAGAGGGGCAGCTCCCTGCTGCAGTTGTCTTCATGGAACTTAATATTCAGGTAGAAATCACCTGTGTAGAGAAAGAGAAGTGCTCCAAAGTACACAGAGTCTTTGGTTGGCTTCACCTGGAAAAGAGAATGTGAAAATCAGTATAATCAAACCAGCAACAAAACAAAATAATTGCACTTTGCAATTCAGTAGCTCCTTCAAATGATCTCAAAGGACTCTAGATTCACATCTCAATATTGCCTTTACAGGTGTAAGGAGTAAAGATCTTGTACCTATTGTAGCAATGGTAAAACTGGAGCATTGAAAATTAAGTCCTGCATTATACACTCATGCAGCAAAGTTGCGGCACAGCTCAAACCAGAATACAGATCTTCAGGAGTCACTGATTCCAAACAGAGCTGGTTTAAGGCAGAGTTCACCCAAAATCTTTCCTTAGACTGCATTTATCAACATCTATATTAAAGGTCTAAATCAGTGTCTCTGAACTCATGTTAAACACATGGTCAAACACCATTTAACTACTTAGCAATAACTAAATTCATCCCCACTGATTATTCAGACACAATCTGACTGCAAATTCTAATCAGGAATCTTTAATATTCACTATCATTGAAATAATTAAGTTTAGCAAGAAACATCCCATGAAAAGTAGCCACCCTGATTTAACATCCAAATTAAACACAGAGTTCACACTGTTTCTACATTTATACATCCCCCTTCATCATCAAACAATCTACGTTCCCTGTCTTTACCACAAATAATATACCTCAGTCCATCATTTCAGCAAGACACTTCAGTAATTTCTGACTTTTAACAATCCTGCGACTGTTCAGCATGTGATAATGTTTGAATTAATATCTGCTTTCACAAGATGTGAAACTCAGAACTGGGTTAAAATTGCTGCAGATGCAAAACACGGAATCAGCACAAGGCCATTCCATTGGATGGAATTTATTAAAAAAGTTGTGAAAAGGCAATTTCATCCCATCTGAAAAGACCCAATAAAGGGCACCTGATGCTCCTCAGTACTGGTCTTCCCTCAGCCAAGATGATCTTACGAGTTCCTTTCTTCTCTCTGGACCCTGAAACCATCAACTCAGGATATACTCATGGGGTCATCCCTACTTTCACGGGTAGGCCTGTGCCCATGTGTTTTCTTTTTTACTTGAATACTTATTGGTAATGGGCCTTTCTTTGCTCATCTCCAAACACCTCAGTGTCCATCATGTTACAGAGTCCAGTGTTGATTCCAAACGGCAGCATGGCATACCACTGGTCAGCCAAACTGAGACCCAAGCCCAACCACAACAGAAACTCTGGTGTTGGATCCAGAAGCGCTGAGCTGTCCAGATGGGCTGGATTTGATTTGGGGGAGAAAACCTTCACAAAGGACATCACTAGGAACTGATGGGACATTACCACCTGGAACAGTGAAGGGATGAGATCGAGTCTCCAAGACAGGTTATCAGGATTCTTGCCTACTATAAAAAATTTGGTCATATGGTAAACTGGGACATCACAATTGGGTATTAACTATGAAAGTGTCTATGGACACTCTTTGCTGAAGGGCATCTTGCCATTGCATAGGAAGCTTGGAACAAGGATGATGACTGGACCATGATGGGGGAGAGGGAGGAGACAAACTACTAGAAAAAGTTTCCAGGGGTGTGAGGCACCTCAAGAATATGCCAGAGAGCTGAAAATTGCCTGCCACCACCTCCAGTGAGGAAGGTTCTCTGTAGCTTTCAGATGTGAGGGGAATGAGCTGTTTGTTTCTGCTTTCTCCTTTTCTAGTTTTTTTTGGACCTTCACTGCTGGGTCCTTTAGCCAGCAGATATGCACTCTGTATAGTCCTCTGGGGTATCAGGCTTCTTTGCTGAACCTCCCTAAAGTGCTGCTCCTGCACAGGGCCTGGCTATTCACAAGCGGCAGCATCACCAGAGCTGGCAGAGCCCAGGCTGCCCTTGGCTTTCATGCTGAGCACTTTTGCTGACCTACACCAACCTTGTATCAGCACCGTATCATCCACGTGAGTGTTCAGAGCAGCCACAGCTGTTCTCCTGACCCTTGTCCTTGGCATCTCCCCTCCTCACTGGGTACAAGTTCTTGCCCTCTGGCATTGTGTCTGGACATGCAGAACAACATCAAGCAGTCTCCCCTCTTGCTTCCTTCTACTCCTCCCAGGGCTGCCTGCCTTATTTCTGCCTCACTGGAAATGATGCGGACTTGCATCCAGAGAAGGACAGGGGCAGGCACTAATGGAAGTAATGGGTGGAGGCAAACAGCAAATGAAGCCTCCTCAGGACCCATACCTTTTTCAAGCCCCCAGTCCATTTTTCTTAATCTAGCTGCACCATGCATATCTGTAACAGCATTGATCAGAAACCTTGACAAGGAGGAAGGTGGCTGCAAGCACATCAGCATCAACACAGCCTTTTCACTCATTTGAAGTTCTGCCTACATGGCTGCTCGTTCCTGCTGCCTTTACAGCACAAGTCCCTGCACCAGTCATCGCTTTCTAAGTGAGAAGAGCCAGAGAGGCAGGTAGTGGTATGTGCCCAGTTCTGCCTGCAGCCCTTCTCCCTCTGTGCAGTATACACAGACCAGACAACAACGTTCCTGGTTTGGGGACTGTCCACATCTGTATGACCACTTGTACAACCAGTGCTATAATCAAGAGTTGTGGTTTAGGGAAGAAACAGGGAAGTAAAAGTAGCTTGAAACCTTTGCGCTGTTGAGATGCAAGTGGCTCTGCAGAAGTTACAAGAAGTTTCTTCCAAAATAGTAACTAATTTTGGAAAATAAGGCTGCCTTTCTAGTGGGGCTGCCTACAGACATTCCCAGAAGACCACAAGTACATCATCAGCAGTCAGGTCAGTAGAGGGCCAGGTCCAACCCAATCAGTATACTGGGCGCAGGACTAATTTTGAGGTTAAACCACCTACATTTAGGTGTCCCTTTGCACACGAGGTATCCAAGCTCCTACTACAGTAAGCAGACATCTAGTCAATGCAGCCAGTGGAGCAAACACAGAATGGTCAAACTGGCCAGCCTATAGAGTCAGGATACAGTTGCCTAAACATAGGCAGCTCATGACATTTGAGATGACCTGAGGCACTGAGACATCTGCACAGGGCTGGCAGGATTTACAGGATGATTTACAGGATGATTTCTGAAAGTAGGTGGAGGCCAGGTGGGACACCCATGGCACCTAAATGGTGGTAGACACCTACTTACCCCTGGTGTCTATGTTAGACTAAGCCAGGTTCTACCAGCTGCAAACTCCATCTCCATTGACTAATGGGAGCTTAGCTGGCCAGCATCCATGGTAACACCTACTCATTCAGATGTCTCAGTCTGGAACTGAATCCACCCAAATGTTTGTAAAGTGGATGTCCACATCCAAGCCAGCTGTTCAACACAAGGATTCAGCTGATCAAATGTAGAATGAGGTAAAATATCCCCTAAACTCCATCAACCCCGCTGACTAGCTCTCCACTGCCTGCGAAGGGAGCTCAGGGCGACTTGTTCAGGTGCGTACACAAGTCAGATATTTCCTGCCATAACTGACAGTTCATACCATCCCACTGGCTGCAATGCACAATCCAGCTAACCTACAAGAAACATGAAGATCACACACTCGTGCTTGATCCAGACCAAATTGGTATTGTCATTCAGTCTAGCAGCACACAGGTCTGGTAGTGTCACCACCTAGATATGTGCTTGGATATTGTGCTGATCTGGGATGCTGTTGAACACATGCTTGCTGAGTTGAGTCGAGGTGGAACAGATTTTACTGAAATTCCACCAAAACATGGAAACCAAAGATGGGAAGCTTCTACCCCAGAAAAAAAAAGACTGAAGAATCTAGAAAAAAAAAAAAAAACAACCCACATTACTCCTCTGTTTCACTGAGATAGAAGAAAAATTAAGTTTCTAGCTCCATCCTAATCCTTCCCTGATTCAGGCTACCATGTGGGACTGCGATTGCTTAGAACTAATTACTACTTATTTATACTCCTGTAGTACTTACGGAGCTCAGTTGGAGATTAGGGCTAATGCCAGCTACTGTTCGCTGCCCCAAAGAGTTTACAGTGCAAGTAAAACAGTGCCAAGAAAACGAATTTGTTCCAGATGGGCCATGGAGGACCTACCAGAAGTGAGCAAATGTTCATCATAGATTCTGAGCTGATTCAAAATGACCATCTACTAATTTCTTCTCATCTCCCACTACCAATCGCTCGAGCTAGCGCGTGATAACACACACAGGAAAAAAACTTGCTTGAGAACAGCAATGTCAAAAGAAGGAATGACAAGGAAAGATGAATTGCTACAAGAACCTCCATAGAACTTTTTTTTTTGTTTCTAATTTGGCAGGAAGCAACTCTGTCTGATCAACTAATCAGTCAAAAAAAAAGCATTGGTAAGAAGTCAGAATTTTTAATAATGTGGCTAAAGCTAAACTTCAGGTTGTGAAGTGAGATAAAAAACAAATCAATGCAACGTATTTAAATGGCTGTCCACCATATTACCTCATGTTTCAAAAGCCCACACTGAACAATGTCTACTATCTAAGTGATAACTGAAGAAATCACTACTTCTGTTAAATACAGACATAGAAAGGTAAGGTTAAATGAATTAGAAGTTGTGCTTAAAAAAAAAGATTTTTCTTAATTTAAAATGCATGGCAATATCTCAATATCCTTTAAAATTTTCAGTAAAAGAATTTGATTTTTGAAGTATATCCCAGCAGAGACTTTGTGACACAGACCTGCTGCATTGACTTGAAGTAACAGCACAAAAAGGTGAATAAGCACTTGATACGTTACTTCCAAGATAAATTATCTAACCTAGACTTCAAGCCACAAGAAAAAGAAATACAAAATCCTATGACTTTTACCCTTTAAACAATTTATATTCATACTGCGAATTCCTACATTCCTGTATATATCCCCGGTCTTCCAGATAGCAGCAGAAACTGATTTGAAACTTTTTGGTCTGGAAACAAAAGTAACTGTGATTTGCTGAGCATTGGGCTTAGTATGAAATTAGCATTTAGGAAAGCAGAGAGGGCTTGGGGTTTGGGTTTTTTTTTCCCTGAAAGAAATCACATTCAGTTGAGCACCAATAATGTTGTAGTTTCTGCATCAGCATGATGACAGACCAAATTTTCAGGCCGTGAAAAGCATCTTCTCTAACACCTGATGCTCCTGCTTGTTCTTGACCATACACTACTGATATGCCAAACCATACACTAGTTCTCCATCCTTCCTCCCACCCAGCTCGGCAGTGTAATAAATCATGTCACCACCTCCTTGCCAGTGTCAGTGTAAAATCAGCCCAATTAGCTTAAACTGCTGATGAACGTAGTTTTTGCTAAACTGGCCAACTTTGCACGAAAACAAATGCTCACACCATCTCTTCCGCTGGGTCTGCTGGGAAGAGGGGAGCATCCTCCTGCAGAGGGGCAGAAACAAGCAGCCGGGAAATGGTAGCATCTCATGCCACCTCCATTAAACAAGGAAAATAATTGTGTGCCCATGACCTCAGTTTATAAAAAATAATGGGCACATGTTTACTAGCTTCGACAGAGCAGCACTGAGTTACACCAGCAGGGAATTGGATCCAGTGTCTCAGCTTTCACTTACAAAAAAGAAAAACTCTGATTCTCTTTCATCTCACCCAACTATGAACTTCTTCGGTTTCTTAACCAGCTTCTGTCTGAGTTTCTGCCAAACTCAAAGCACGAACACAATTCTGAGTGTGTTGGTTCTTCCCTGAAGCATCAAATGAACAAACCAGGACTTTCTTCTTGTCCCCCAAACAGGTGTGCCTTTCTGAAATCTTTTTTTTTCCATTACTGAATTAGTTATTACAGGGGATGAAAGAGCCTCTGACAGCATTAGATACACTGTTTGAAGAATTTTCTTCCATGATCAGGACTCTATGGCTCAAAGAAATATGACTAAGCATTTTCTCCGGGAGCCTGTGTAGGACAAGTACCAATACTACATACCATGAAATTATTGTCTTCTTGTCTAAGAGTCGACATTTTCTTCATTTCACCTTTTCGGATGAAAAGGAGGGCAAATAACAGAAAACAACTCTATTTTTAACTTACTGGGGACTGTGTTTACAGGAGAAATGTCACAATACTGAACAACGGGGCAAAAGCGGGGACCGTAACGTATGAGAAGGCTGCCTGGGCGGGCACAAGAGATGTGACCTCCTGACTTCTTGCCCTGTAGGAGACTCAATCAGAAGGTAAGAATACATCACACTGACATCTCCCTTTTCCCTCATTAGCCCAGAGGGTCAGGCCCTTCGGCAGCTGGGCATCCAAACGCTGCCACTCTGATTAAAAAATCCACATTGTCAGAAAGAGAGTCAAAGAAAGCCATCTCTTGATTATTTCTGTTGACATATTTAAATTATTCAGCTAAGAATATAGTTAGCCCCCATTAAAATTCAAGTTGATGGTGTATTCCATGCTCATTAGCTTTTGGAAATATTTCTTTCCCCGTGATGTGTAATTGAAAAATACGCATGGTGACTATCCCTGTGGTTAACCTTTAATTTTCTTCTCACTAAGGTTCACTTAAATATTCAGTTTTGACAGGTACATTTTATCAGCTATCTAAAAAGCTGACCTAAGCAAAGGTCCTAAGCACTATCCCAAACACTCACCCTCTTCTTCATGTTTATTTTATAAGTTACCAGAAATACTACTTATTCTACTCTGCGGTACTGTCTGTATGGTTTTCTTTCCTGTTTTTTTTTTTGTTGTTGCTGTTTTTAGGGAAAGGATGCAGGAGAAAGTAGTTGTATCTGTATCTTCAGTGTCTTGCCTTAGAAGCAAAAAGCTCCTAGACTTGAATTTTTTAAAGAAGAATTTGAGAGAAAACCCCAAATCTCAATTGTTCTAAAAAGGGAATTTTTGGTCCCATTTTAAGTATGTTTTCTATTTTTCTTTATGGTTTTGTAAGAGTGTGCTAAGCGACAAGGAAATGAACCAGCTCATTATATTGGTCATTAATGTTTAGCATTTTCTTTTTGCAGTCTGTTGCATTTCCTCAGGACCTGACTAAAACTGATTTGCTGAGTTCCTTGGCTCAGCCTGGGGAATATTTCTTATGGACTAAAGAGAAAAAGTTACTTAAAATCTATTACTGCAGGCTGCACTGGATGGCTTAAGGGGCTGGCAATATGGTATTAAACATCTTATCTAGGTTACCCATTCACATTTAGTCAGATCTGGAGTGACCAAAAGTTACTGTCTCTGATAGATTTACATGATAGGAAATTACAGCCTTAAACCGTGTCAGAGAGATGATCATATCTTCAAACCTATCAGCACCTTTAGTAATAGCTGCCATAACCGTGGCGCTTTCCAGAAGTTAGTCTGCCTGAAAATGCACAATTGAATAATGAAGCCCTTTTCCGTAAATGCGTGTTGTCCAGAACCATGAGCAATTTGATAGGAAGACTTACTGAATCGATGTAGAAGGTGTTGGATCCCACAAAGGTGATGGCATCTTGCAGCTCATAGTTGTGCACCCCATTTTGATAATCTTGGTAGGGCGTCACGGTGAGAGCGAAGGGCCCCACACTGTGTTTGCTCCGGTTGGTCAGCTTCACCTCCAGCGGGATGGGGTCCCCGACTTTGCAGTCCACCACGATATCACAGTCACAAAGCTTGCCGTCGACGAGGATATCTGCAAATCAAGAAAATGATTCCACTTATGTTGGACTCCCGCTTTAGAAACTATTCATCTTGATAAGAAACTTAATAAGGAAAAGTAACCTAAATGAAACCAAGAGTGCATGATGGTTAACCTTCAGAAAGACAACCCAACGCTGCAGTGTTGTGTAGGGTAGTGTTGCAACAACCACTTTGAGAAGGTCTGATGTCTGTCCACAGCTGTTGAAAAAGCTGTGAAAAAACCCAGTTATGATCTATACACAAGCACTCGAAGGTATCTTTTTAACCTCCTCTCTTGCAGGCCAAAGCCACAGACAACTTCTCATGCTTCTCCTGCAAATCAACAGCATTTGGTGCAGGGAAATACAAACAGGAATCATAAATACAAATGGTAGCTAGATAGATCCAAGGCTGGATGCCCGTGTTCACATGCCACAGCCAGAATAAATCCTCCTGCATGGAGGTGACCTTTTGGAGCAGGACAGACACTGCCAGAATGTGCAATGTAATACATATATTAAAGTCCAGATTATAAAGAAAAAAGGGATTTTAAAATTATACAGCAGTACTTACGAGCTTGTTCACTCTTTGCGCTTTAATTCATTCTGGATTTTCTATTTTTAGCTTTCTACTTTTCTTTCCCTTCCTGGGATAGCAGAAAATACAAAGCCTCTAAATTGGTTACTGCTGGGACAATGACAGCCAGAGTAATGTGGCCACTAACCTTGCCCATTTGCTTATACAGAACCAAAATGTTTCATTACCAACACACTATGAAATTGCTAGTCCAATTCCCTGCTCTGAAAGGGTTCCCAGTTGTGCCGTATTCCTGTATTTTTCAGATGAGGGTTATCTCCGATGCACTATTAACACAGGAACATTTCTATTGCGCTATGGGTTCATGTTCAGAGATAAGAGAAAGCCCTGGGCACGTGTAAGAAAGCATCCTCTGTGTGAATACCTATCCCCACAATCTCATACACCCATGAGGCATTTCGATCACTCCAGCTCCTCCTCAGTCGCTTGCCTTACGACATACAGCATATTATTCCCCTGCCAACAGCATTGGTTTTACATTAGTAATATCCCCTCTTCACGACACTATTTTTATGCTTCAGGAGCTTTCACAGAAAAAAAAAAAAAACATTTTACACCAGAGTAGGTTGTGGGTTTTTTTACTTATTTTTGTTTTGCTGCCTTAGCTGAAAAACTACAAAATGATGCATGTTCTCCTGATGCCCTTTAGCCTGGCAAATTGAACAAGCCTTAGCACAGCAAGCTGGTGGGGGTGGGGAGTAGGGGGGGAAGCTAGAGCCAAAGAAGAAACAAGTTCAGAAAGGGACATTTATTCCAGAGGTCAGGTCAGCAAAGCTGAACTACCCAGATGCAAACCCCTCCTTGAGCAAAGCTGCCCAAATGCAGCAGCAAGTCCCAGATACACGAGTCTTGGCAGAGTGAGACCCACAGTGCTCGAGCTGCAGCTATCCAAAACCCGTGCTGGTGTCCCAGTTGGAACAGTCCCCGTGCCAAAGATTTCCTTTCCAAAGGAGATGCCCAGTTTTTGTCAACAAGAGCACTGGTGAGGCTACACCAGGAGTACTATGTCTGGTTCTGGGCTCCTCAGTACAAAGGAGACATGGACATACTGGAGAAAGGCCAATGAAAGGCCATGAAGAGGATTAAGGGACTGGAGCATCTCTCCTATGAGAAAGTTCTGAGGGAGCTGGAACTGTTCAGCCTAGAGAAGAGAAGGCACTGGGAGAATCTTATCAATGTATATAAATACCTGAAGGGAGGGTGTGAAGAAGACAGAGCCAGGCTCTTTTCAGTGGTGCCCAGTGACAGGACCAGAAGCAATGGGCACAAACTGAAACACAGGAGGTTCCCTCTGAACACCAGTAAACACTTTTTTCCTGTGGGGGTGACCAAGCAGTGACACAGGTTGCCCAGGGAGGTTGTAGAGTCTCCATCCTTGGAGATGTTCAAAAGCCATCTGGACATAGTCCTGGGCAACTGGCTCTAGGTGGCCCTGCTCAAGCAGGGAGTTGGACTGGATGACCTCCAGAAGTCCCTGCCAACCTCAAGCATGCTGTGATTCTGTGAAAGGAAGTTATAACCACCACTGCATTTTAGGAAAGGGCTCAAAAACCTGTTTGGCATTGGATTTCTTTTGCAGTAGCACACTCTAACATTATGGGCTTTCCTGCCCAGCATGATCAAATTGCTTCTTGCAGGATTGCCCTAAGATCATGGAGGTGAAGTAGTGGTTATAATGGTATCCCATTATCTGGAATTAACGGACTTGAATTTTTCAAAACACAAAAATGTGTGTGCGTGTACGCTTCCCAGCCTCCTGCCCCAGAAGTGAAGTCCAGTTGCTTCCTTCAAAAGAAATGCATTGATATCAATTCATGACTTTATATCAATGCAGTTTATGTTTTCAAGCTTCTCCCTGCAAGCTGAGAACCAAAAAAAAAAACCAAAAAAAAATTTCTTTCCTGGTTCCTCCAGCCAGCGGGTCTTCCAGCTCCCCAAACCAGCATGAACTTTGAGAAATACTCAGTAAGCTAAGTGGACAAATCTTTATTTTCAAGCTGCTCATCAGCTTGCCTTTTAGCTTTAAAATTCAATGCCCTGCTGTAGAAATTGTGAATGAACCCTTTGCCCTCTCCCTCCACCTTTGTATCTAATAATAGCTCAGAGCATTGCTTCCCAATATCTTCATGTGAAAATAGAAAATCCAAACAAAAGGGAAGCAATTAAGTCTGCTCAACCAGATTAATTTTCTTCCGTATTCCTAAAAAAATTCAATTCATTTCAGATTGATTCAAGACCATATGTGTGCACACGTGCTTGTGTACATATTGAAAGATTATTTCCTTCCCTCCCAGCACACCCTTCCTTCTTGCAGTACTGAAGCCAAGGATCTCAAGGAGATGTCAGATGAGAAAACAGACATGGCTGGCGTGCAAAATACTATGGAAAGGAGTGTTTAAAAACAGTCCCCTTTCATCAGAGAGAACAGCTTGGTTTGACAGGCAGTTTTACTCCCTTCCTGACACAGAAAACATCTCATGGACCATACGGATTTGCTTTAATATTTTCATCCATGAACAGAGGAAAAGCCATGTGTACAGGGTCCCGTTTCTGCAGATTCAGCTCACTCACACAGATGGCATATAAAAGCTGAGACTGCTCACACCACTGCTGTGAGAGTGAATCATTACTGGCTTCAGCAGACAGGAGCTCTGCATCAGAAGACACAGTCGCTAGCGCAGAAGACAGTGGTGGCCCTATCTCCATCTTCCAAAGATTCAGATACAAGATAGACAGTATTTCAGAAAATCAGAAGGAACAAGTTTGATGCGAACAGCATATAGAAATCACATCAAAAAGGTGGAAGTGTAAAATCTGGCTGTCAGGGCAAAAAAAGCCAAAGACCTAGCAACCTCCTTCTAATTAAAAGTTAAATCCTTTTTAAAGCACTTTAATAAGCCAACAGAATGCTAGGGTTTTATTTTGTTTTTTTTTTCCCTCTCTCCACTTTCCTACTCATTTACCTACACATGTCCACTGGTGTCAACGTTACCCTGCAGTGCTTGATAGCCATGTTCAGCCTGGAGAAGAGAAGGCTGTGGGGAGACCTGATTGCGGACTTTCAGTACCTAAAGGGGGCCTATAGGAAAGGTGGGGAAAATCTTTTTAGTAGGGACAGCTGTGACAGGACGAGGGGTAATTGTTTTAAATTAAAATGGGGTAGATTTAGACTGGATATAAGGAAAAAATTCTTTACAATGAGGGTGGTGAAACACTGGAACCGGTTGCCCAGAGAGGGAGTGGAGGCCCCATCCCTGGAAACCTTCAAGGCCAGGTTGGACGGGGCTGTGAGCAACCTGATCTGGTTAGCGGTGTCCCTGCTCACTGCAGGGCGGTTGGGCTGGGTGGCCTCTAAAGGTCCCTTCCAACCCAAACCATTCTATGATTCTATGAAAAAAAGGAAAGACAGTCTCTGCCACGCATCCCTGGACAGGCACGGGCACACTCTGAGGAAGCGCAGGGTATTTTATTTCTAGGACCTTCTCTAAGTGATTATTGCACCAAGGGAGAAAATGTTTGACACATTTTGGAAGATAGAGGGTGAGGATGATACAGGAGAATCACAGAATCACAGAATCATTTAGGTTTGAAAAGACCCTTAAGATCATAGAAAGAATGGGTGCGAAGGGTGACTGGAAAGCCTTGCTTTTTCATGGATGGCCTTAGCCAAGCCTTTTAAGATCTCGATGAATTCACCTTTTACTTGGAAAAACTACTTCTTGACCAGTTGATAGGTGATGCTTATTGGCACCACAATGGCTGGGAGACCATGATATGAAAATAACACACCAGATTTCATATAGTGTCTCTCTTTCAAGATCTCAAAACTCAAGAAAAGGGAATGAATGTTATTAATGGGAAGACAACCACTATTCCACAAGAAAAACATCATTTACCACCACCTGCCAGGTGTGCTTCTGTCTACATCACCCAAAGGGGCAGCTTGGAAACGAATACCAAACGTTATTAACATTTTGTGTTATTTACTCTGCTCATGTTAACACACAGTAAGTTGTTCTTGCTACTTTGTCAAGTTTCCATGTGAGCACTCGCAACTTATTGTCCCACCTGCACGTCAAGCGAGTCAGGGCTAATTGCATTTCTGCACCCAAGTCCCTGTTTGCCACTGTGAAAGTTTAATTTAGGAAAGCCGCATACAAATACATGTTTAATCTCAGTGGAAAAGCACATCCCAGCAATGTTTACTCTCCTCACTCAAACTCGGGTTAATTTTTAAAAAACAGGCTGCAGAGGAAGGCAGGGTGTTTGTGCTCATCTTTACAGTGGGGAGATTTCCATTGGATATTTGCCTTTAAATTTGATGTTGAAGCAGATGCATTGGTCTCTGCCATTCGCTGCAGCTGGGAACCTGTCTTGAGACTTCGAGCCAACACCTCCCAGAGGCATGGCTTTGCA